GTACATATATATGTATATGATGTGTGTATATGATGTATATGCATATGTACATGAAGTCTATGTATATGCATATATATGTAGTCCATGTATATGTATATAATATGTCTATGCATATGTATATGTCTATGCATATGTATGTATATGCTATAGGTGGGTAGCTTGTTATTTTTGTGGAACTCCTAACAGAGGCTGTTTCTGATGCTTTTACCTGCTTTTGGGACCCTTGTCTTCCTACTGGGTTGTCTTGTCCAGCCTTAATATCAGGGGAGGTGCCTAATCTTATTGTAACTTGCTATGCCATGTTTGGATGGCATTCCTTGGAGGTTGGCCTTTTCTGAAGGAAAACAGAGGAGGAGTGGATTGGGAGAGAGGACAAAGGAGGGAGGAGGGAGGAGGTGGAGTGCAAAAGGAGGGAGAAGAAAGTGTGGGCAGGATGTAATAATGAGAGAATTAAAAAAAATTGTGCCTGAAACATAATCAGATCCTCATGCAAAAGACACAAAGAAAAGTCAGGCTGCACTGTATATACTTCGATTAGCATTTCCTCTTCCTGGTCAGGCTGTCTCCTTCAAAAGAAGCACACTGAGGAAATGAACAGGAAGTGGCATTAGTATCTACCAGCTCACTGTTGGCTATGCAAGGGCACTACGCGGCCTAATTCTATGGGGAATCATCAGCATTCTCCTAATTACCAATTATGTAGCAGATGCTTAAATTCAGTTCACGCTTGACCAAGACAAGGTCAGCCCTAAGAACTGTCATCCAATCTAGAGTGCAATTAAGCTTTGCTTAAAAAACTCAGGCAGATCAGTTTTTGTTTTTCCCCCTTTAAACCAGATTAAAGCCTGTTCTAATTTAAATCAGAATTACCAATTCTCCCATCTCCCTTCCCAGCAGAGCATATAATTCTAATTCCTCCTTTTCTAAAGTTTCACATGCCAGCGTGACAGTTCTAGTTGGCGCTGTTACACATCAGTCACTAGCTAAGCCCCAGCAACGTGAAAACAGGGAACCCCTGGCAGAAACCAACCCATGACATTGCTGAAATGGAGGCAGGTTATAAGCAATTGGGAATAAAGAGTGTGAGAAGGGAATAAGAGCATGACAAATGGCCAAGGCAGGTTTACATTCACTCTAGAAGAAGACTTCCTATGCCAGGAAGGAAACTTGCTTAATATCTATCAAGGCTTAGGACACACAGCTCATTGAGATTTTTGCCAAGCCATGTGACCTACATGCAACAGCAATCACGTCTTGGTTCAAATTCCCAAATGTGAGATGAAGAATGACGATAGATTCTTATTTCCAGGAGCGTCATCCTGAGGCTAAAGGGACATATAAGGAGCAGCTCCACATTCTGAATGCCACAGTACACAGGGTGGTTGGAATTGTTACCGATGTAATCCACTTTGGAAATAGAGAACTTTAAACAAACAAGAGGCAGAGTAACTATAGACAACGGAGCATCCCATTACCGTCCTTACAATGTAGCTTTCAGAAGTGAGGAAGGTGGGCCCTGAAGAGGCTGGAAGGCAGAGGTTGGGAGCTGCTGTGCAAGAAGACTGTCAGGGGAGAAAACTTTTAGATGAGAATTCAGAGGAGATGGGGAGAGAACCTGAAGTCTGCAACACAATGCAAGCTTCAGAATGTACTTGCTTTGTTCCATTGCAGATGGGGCTTTGATGGGGGCACACTGAAAATGGACCATCTCGGGGAGTGTGCAATGATACCACCAGAGGCCAGCATGGCTGTTCTTGGGGACTTCTATCACCTCCATAATGGTGACTGGTACTGTACAGAAATCAAAATGAGGCACAAGAGCCGAGCTCATGTAGATCTGTAGGCTTCAGCAGAGCCATTTCCATGGGCTTGCAAATTAGGAGTGACAAATAAAAGCTTTTTGTCTTTCCGCTACCATGGAAACTTCGAATTGTTTGACTCTCAGCAACAGTGGATGGATAGAGGATTTTATTCGTTCGTTCGTTCATTCATTCATTCATTTGGTTTTTTGAAACAGTGTCTTTCTGTATAGCCTTGGCTGTCCTGGACTCATTTGTAGACCAGGCTGGCCTCGAACACACAGAAATCCACCTGCTTCTGCCTTCCTGAGTGCTGGGATTATAGGTATGCACCAATGCACCCAGCGATAGAGCATTTTATACAACAAACATTTTGAAGAATGAAGATGCCTAAGCTACATTCTGTAGACTGTGCAACTACATTAATAAAATGACCTCACTAGAAACTAGGCAATCCAATAAAACAGCCTAAACATCAATGAACCATTAATAAAAGAGGTTCAGATATATTTATCATATAGGGCATCTGAAAAAAAGAACAGAATGTAAGAGCCATTTATTGTAATTATTACTGTTGACTTAAGCCCTTCCAGAGGGAAAGATGAATATTTTCTAAGAACTCAAACTTAAGAGACAAAGTGTTTCAAGATGTTTTACAACAAAATCTAAATAAATTCATTCTGCCAAGTACAATTCTCAAACATGCAGTTGTAAAGAAGATGACTTTTAATCAAATTCCGATGAAATTACCCTTTTAAGTCCTCAAAGAAGTATTTGTCTAGAACATATCAATGAGTTCCACAATGCAAGTGTTTATGCCTCTATTCCAACAACTTGAAACGCCAGAGCACCAAGTATATACAAACCCAACTCAGAAACTCCCTACAACTGAGCTGTTGCCTTGGCTGCAAACACTATATAGTCTCACACCTGCTCTAATGCAGGAGGAGGTGTCAGAGGGAGGCAAGTTCCGAAAAAGGAGGCCATGGTAGACAATGGAGCAAGTCTACTCTACAGGCCTCTGGAGTAATTATGACAACTTTTATTCCAATCATATAGAGCATATCAATAAAACTCTCACTCCCACAAACCACATTTTATCACAAGGTACAAAGTATGCGTAGGTGAAAGATGTGACAAGTATGATTTCAAGTAAGACTTGCTGGAGGTAAGTCCAATATATTGTGATATCTGGACAAAACAGTGTTTTCACTTAGGCTATTTGAACCATACAACACACTCAAAACATGACAACAAATATGATTTTATATAATGCTTCTATTTGTTTAATGGTCCATATTGGAAAAAATACCCCTGTACTTTCTGTGTTTTGTATGTTAACTTGACACAGGCTAGAAGCATCAGAGTGGAAGGAGCCTCAGTTGAGGTAATGCCTCTATGAGATCTATCTACAAGGCATTTTCTCAATTACTGATAAATGGGGGAGGGCCCAGCCCACTGTGGGTGGTGCCATCCTCGGGTTCCATAAGAATGCAGGCTGAGCAAGCCATGTGAAACAAGCCATTAAGTACCACGCCACCAATGGCTTCTGCATTAGCTTCTGACTCTTCCAGGTTCCAGCCTTGCTTGAAGTCCTATCCTGACTTCCTCCAATGATGGACTATGATCTGGAAGTACAAGCTGAATAAACTCTTTCCTTCCTAACATGCTTTCTTGTCACAGTATTTTTGTCACAGCAATAGAAACCCCAACTAAGACAAACCCTAAAGGCCATTATTTATATCCTGGTAGAATTATGTAAGTCCGTCTTGTTTTAGGTAGACAGTCTTTGTTAACCTGACATATCACTTTTGTATTGATGCCTAGTCTTGACCATCACTTCCCTCTGCCAGCATCTTCAATTTTATTCTCAGTTCTTCATGACTCTTAATTCTGCTTGTTTAATCAAAAGTAAACAACAATAGAGTGATGGGGCTATTTAATAAAAAGTAATGGAAATTCTATTAGCTAAAAAGTAAAAAATTAAAGCTATAGTATCAATAAGCTATTAGAATACTATAATGGTACAATTCAGGATTTTCCCCCCAAGATAGATGGTAAGCTATAGCTAAAGTCAGGACAAATCCATGGTAGTAATTTTCACAATGTTTTCTATATAGCTAAGCCTTTGGGTGTCTGGCAATGGATGAGGTATGTCTCCCCCAGAGGAGGGATGCACTGGAAGTGACAAAAGTACACTCCATCTCCAAATAAGAAAAGTCCGTTGCCTTGAAAACAATACGCCTGGCACTGGTCCACAGAAAACAAAGCTGCTAGCTCACTACACAGTGCCGGTTCTGCACTTTGCTATTCGTTTCCCCAGAATCTCAACAGAGGAAAACGTAGAGACACTTGAATAGCTTGTCTTCTCTGCTGGCAACTCTGATGGAAAGCAGATGGTAAGTTTCTGGGCGGGTTAGGTTTTGACTTCTCCCCATCTTCAGCTGGTAACAGAAGAAAGAGCCCACAGTGTACATTAGCCAAAAATGTGACCAGAACAGAAAGGCACTTCCAAGCCAAAACTAAAATGAGTGGTTTAACGAGAGCAGGGACTTACTCAGCTGCACACAGTGTGCTGAGCCTGCGCCCCTCTGAGGGGGAGGTGAGGGAGTGGAGAGAAGAGCATTATTTCCCTGCTCCTGAGACTCTGGGATCTAGCGGACACGCATCCAAAAGAAAGGAGAGCAGCAGCACGGTAACTGGGTGGTATAAGCTAAGGCTAAACGTGTTTTCCGACTGCTCACAGGATTGTCACACAGAAGTAAATGAAGAATGGGGCAAGGCTGGGCAGTTGCGAGCACACCTCAGGCTTAGCGGACCTGAGACTTGGCTAGTCAATGGGCAGGAAGCATGGAAGACACAGGAGAAAGCCGCATGTCATCCAAGGCAGCAATAGATTTGACAGGACAGCAGCAATAAGCCATAACAGTGTTACAAGACAAAGAGCTTTACCAGGATAAAAATATGAAAGTTCCGAGACAAAAGATGGTGGTAAAATTTATATGTGGGGCATGGATTTGGAAAGTTATAGAAAGCGGTGTTGTGCTCAGCCACACAGCTGTGCTACTTGTGGCCAGAGTGGAGGGTGTCGACGAAGGTCAATGTTAGATTGGGCACCTTTCCAGTCTGCACAAATTAGTCCACCGGATGCCAGCAGGCACCACCAGATTCCAAGCCACTGTGCCATAAACAAACACTAAGCCAAGCAGTCAGAATGCTTTAATCACTTCACCAATAATTGGGTAGATCCAAATTTACAATCTGAGTTTCAAGACAATGAAGCAGGTGGCAATACAGATATTTTTCCAGTTCTCTGCTATCAGCTATTTTCACTTTGCTTTACTCAAAATATTTACACTTTCAATTTTAAAGTCCTACTTCATTCCCATTAGATTAACTACAGTGAGATAATCATATTTTTGATGGTTTTCATAAGGTTCATTTTATTAAAGGTCTAAGAGAAAATGCTCTGTGTATTTAAAAGTCTTCTCCCTAGAAGCTTGTTAAGTATGAGATCAGCCAAAGAGCCTCATCCTGAGAATTGAAAGTGAGTTTCCAGACATCAAGTGCCTGGTTCTGCCCAGCCTGAAGACACAATGGGGTGAGCATCCGGGCACCTGAGGCAACTTGACGCTGTTCAGGTAGACCACTTCCTGTGTTTAAGGGAAGCCCGTGTTTCCTTACGAAGACCAGCTCTAACGTCGACACTTTGTCCTTCTCTGGAACAATGACACATCTGAATTCACTCAGAGCTTTGCATGTGATCAATTCAAACTGCCCACGTGGAGGAAGTATGTCTAGAGAGCCAGTGTGGGGGAAAAACACGTGATCCTCCCTCAAGAGTGCCATATGCGTATTCAGAAGGACGAATGATTCACAGGGGGCACAACTGGCCTCATTCTCCAGTTTGACTGTGGTGTACAGCAGTAACTGAACTTCAGCCAGAGAAGGGACGCTGGCCTCCATATTTCCATGAAGAAAGTAAACCATATCTACCAAGGTTGTCTGGAAATTGGAAGACAACTGAACTCCATTTGCCAAAGCTAAAGCAGGGATTTCAGCTTTCAAGTCAAGAGAGAGCTGAACCAGATCCTGCTGAAGCAAAGGGTGGCTTGCGTAGGTGGCAGCTTCATACCCAGCCATCAGCACACCCAGGAGGTCCTGGCAGAGCTGCTGAGACAGGCTTTTGTTATAAGTGAGCACAGTAAGCAAGTGGTCCTGTGTGGAGCCCAGTAATCGAATGCTCTGTCCACCAAAGCCGACCTGAATCTCCTGCAGCGCAGAGAGAGGGAGAACATGAAAAATGCTCATGGGGCCTGGGCAGTTATCTAACAGAACAAGAGCATACAGAGATGAAGGCAGCAGGAACAAACATGCAGCCTGAGGGTCAGGATGGGTGCAGTTAGCAACTGCAAGCCAGTAAATACTTTTAACTGCCTTCACTATATGCACAGGCTCTGGCAGGGAACACATTGCATGCTCAAGGAGGTCTGTGAGAGTGCACTCTTGAAGCTTCAACATTTGCTCTGGGAATGATATAAGGGTCTGCTTAAATGCAATGATCTTCCCGGCATCTTCATCATCAAGACGGAAAACTGAACTTGGCCAGGAACTTGGTGAGCCTGTAGATGTGAAGGTCACATCTGTGAAAGGTTCCTTGTTCTTGGCTGACATTGGGCTCCCTCCATCTTCACTGCTGAAGCTGCCACTCTGAGTTTCAGGAAGAAGAGGAGGGCCTGATGGCACCACGAGTGACCTCAAGGGCAGGGGCAGGGATAAGTGCCCCCATAATGGCTGGCCTCTGATGAAGGTTGTCATGTGGGAGGCCAGCCCACCAGGGTCACACATACTCCCAACATGCTTGGCTTGGCTCATCACCTTTGTCCCAGCCTGCCTCAGGTGGCCACTGGTGCCTTTATACAACTCTGAGAACTTGTGGTAAAAATATCCCAGTCGCTTCTTTGCTTCTGTCTGGATACTGACTAGGGGAGCTAGAAAGCCAGTATTTTCCGTAGCTAGCTCTTTCTCATTTTGTTGCTCACCACACAGTGTGGGAGCTGCTGCGCTCTGAGGAGAGCCGCCAGTGGGATGCTCCTTTTGAGAAATGCTTTCAGAGGGAACAAAGCACAGAACCCTGCTTTGCGTTGCTTGCTGGCATCCTCTGTTTATTGGTGCTTGCTGGGACATGTGTTGCAGCAATGTCCAGCTGGCCTCCTTTCCCCAGCTTTGTTTCTCTTCATGAGTCATCAGCTCACTGTCATTTTCTGATTCACCCTGAGAATTCTGTCCACTTCTGTTAAGGAAAGTGATTTCAGGCAGTGGTTCAATGTGGCTAGAGCTCTCAGGGTAACAGTGCTGGTCACCTAGATTATTCAGTGCCTCAGGCCCTGAGGACAGAACCATTATCTCTTGGGAAGTCATGGAGAAAGCTCTGGGGAGTGAGGTGCTCCGTGAGATGGGTTGGCTCCAGTGGCTGCTCGAATACACCTCAGTCTCTTCTCTAAGGATGATGGAAGAGCAAGGCTGCCTTTTCTGTTTAGGATGTCAAAAAAGGTTGAAATGGGGGCGTGCTGTGACACTCTCGGAGTCTTTTGCACATGGTGAGTGTCATAGCCATTGGTTTCATTGGAGTAGATTAATTGAGGAGTGAGATAGAAAGCCTAAGGCATTTGTGTTGATTAATATATGATTTAAGAACAGATGATTGGTTCATATATACATAGCACATGGATTTCCGAGTTACATAGTCTAACAAATCACTGGGTATTTGGGGACACACTCTGTAGGATTAGTCCACAGTATCCATTTCTTGGTCTGTGATTGCTTTTTCTCTGAGGTACATCCACAGACTTCTGAGTCAGTGTTTCAAACACCAGTGTGAGCTGCACGACCATGTGTGCAAGATGTCCATCCAAGTCACACTGCTCTCTTTATTTTTGGTTTACTTCACGTGAATCTTTAATCCTGTTCTCCCTAATTAGAATACCATCGCTGATACCTACAAACCTTCACTAAGGAAGGCATGCTGCATGCCTAGAATTTATCAGGTACCATAGAAACAAAGAAATGTAAGGCAGCTTCCTCCTCTGCAGAGGTACCTGCTAGGAAAAGGACGTTCAGAGGAGGCTCCTGTCATTACTGGTTGACAAGGAGAAGTGGGTGTGGCCCAGGTAAGTCAAGAAACTACGAACACCCACCCTTCTGCTCCATGTTCTGGAATAGACAGTAGATACTGGTTGCAAGATTTCGATCCCTTAGCACTGATGAAAAGTACGTGGGCTACATGAAAAGGACATACCCTTTGGTAGAAGAAAACACAAGTGATTCTTACCAACTGTATGTTCTAATAGCATAAGTCCCCAGAGAGATAAGACAAGCTGATTGGTCAAGAGTTTCCTTTGTACTACTGCCAACTCAGATATAAAATGAACAGGTTTTAAAAACATTAAGATGCTTTCAGTTTCATTTCCAATCGCCCCATATCTGATCCTGATTATATAATTCTGTCTTTTCAATGCAGACCAAGGGAAGGGATACTGTTGCTAATGAGAAACTGGGCATAGCTACAGGACATTCAAAGAAAGCCAAAGCACTTTTAGGCCTGCAGGATTCCCTTTAATTTTACATCTATATAATAGTTTGCCTTCTCTATTAGCCATTAATCTCACTGGGACTTCAGAATTCTAATTATGCAACTAAACATTAAGAAAATTTAATCACACAAGCATGCCATAATTTAAGCAACCCCATCAATCTGAGAAATCATTACCTACCTCATACTTTAGCTTACGTTGAGTGGAGCCATTGTGAAGTTCCTCATTACTCTGAAAAGAAAAGAAAGCCTTCTGTATTAAATTATAGCATGCTCATAGATGGGAGAAAAAAAAATCTGATTCCATTACAAGTATTTATGGGAACAAAATTGTAAAGAAACATACTTGTCATTCAAAACTGACAACCTTTCCACAGGATTTACATTCCCAAAATAAACATGTCTCTCACTGATTTATGTGTGGGACAGAGAACTGAACCAGTGACTTCTAATGTTAAGTTTAAACAGCAAAGTTACACTCAAGATTTCCATGGAACGTTGTTTAGCCTGTAAGCTATGGAATTCAGTAAGACAGTGTCTCAAGAAAAAAAAAAAATCTACAATACAGGTCTCATCAGACTCAGAGGCTCTGCTTCTGAGGGTATCACAGCAGTCAGAGTCTCCATGGACAGAGAAACCCACAAGGCCATGGATACGTAGCACTGTTTGTCACAGGCAAGTTAGGAAATCGGAGAGGTTTCCAGCAATGGGGGATGGCTAAAGAACATGTGATATAGAAAACAGATATATTACATGGAGTTTCATTCAGCCATAAAGAAAAGCAAAACTGGGGGTCAATTACAGAGAAATGGATGGAATAGATCATCCCATTACACAAAACAATCCAGTTTTAAAAGGAGAGGTATCGAGTCTTTTCTCTCAAATGAGCAATTTCAAAAACAAAACAAATCAAATAAACACTAAACAGTCTCAGGGTATAAAAACAGGAAGAAATGCAAAGTGAAGGATGTGGATGGAGACAAAGGGGAGGGAATGAAAAGAGGTTTATGGTATAATACAACCAAATTATCTTGTATGTATGGACAAAAGCCCATTGCTTGTAAGATTCATTTATGCTAATACGAAAGAAAGAAACTGTTTGATAAGCATCACCTTACAAAAGTATAAATCTTCTCAAGTAGAAAAGTATTATCTACTAGGAATAATTTACAAAGTAAATTATGTATTATAGGAATTGGTTTTATTTAGGGAGAAAACAGAATCAAAGTAAATACGAATTGTAAGAACCTTAGCATGTGTGATTGATGAATGTTTCCTCAATTAAAAATTGTAAAATAAGCTACTCTTTGATTAATTCCATCTGAAAACTACTCAGCTCCAGCCAATAAACTCTTGGTGGTCTTTCTGGAGCACTGTACACCTGGGTTTTCACTAAGCAGCAGTAATGACCGCATCACCTGGCTCTTTCAGCTCACCTTCATCACATCAGCAGATGCATGGCTGGCGTCACCAACTGCTCTGTGCAAATCATGAAGGCGTCTTTGGACTTCTTCCTCAATGTAAGCACTGATCCTGAAAACCATGGAAATGGGACACCTTTGAATACATCTAACTGCTACACAAGGTCACTGTGTGTGTGTCTTCTGGATGCCCTATACAATATGAGTGTTTCATTCCTAAGGCCATGTATGTACATCTATGATCAAAATAGAGATCACTATGCTAAGTCAAACAGTACAACTCTGAAAGAGGTATCATGCATACAATTTAGAAAAGCTCAAAACAAAAAGCAAAGCCCTCTCAGGACTTGAAAATTCTGATATTTGTTTTATTTATTCCATACAAATAAAATTTGGAATTCTAAGCAATATTTTTTCTTCCTAAGAAATCTGGTGTTATGCATTTACCCTCTGATCTTTCTCCAAGTGATATGGAATTGGGTAAATAAAGAAGAGGACCCTGAAACTGAATGGTAAGTAAGATGCTCCATCAAAACCTGCTCTGGATCTTATGAGCACAAAACATTGCAGGATAATGGCAAATCAAACCCATGTCAGAAACACAAGTCAGAAGCTCTGTGCTCACAGATTCCACTTTAAGACAGACCACTAGTTTTCTTCATTTGGAAAATGTAGACATAAATGATAGTTAATTCTTACGCACAAGGGCATTTATGATGATTACTAAAATATAAAAGGCTGAAATTCAATTTCCACCAATGAAAAGAGGTATTCATACTGTATGAATACCGATATGAATATCTAAAACAGTGTTGCATTCTCTTGGCCTATCTTGTTCATCCAAGTAGCTTATCTCCATCTCGCCATAGGGACCACATATGAAAGGTTTCTACTATGTGGATTGCTTAGAATAGGATAAAACAGAACGGAATAGAAACTATTGACTTATAAAGCAGGTGTTAAATAATATCTGTTGCCTCATAGGAGGTATGTGAATCAGTATTAAATCCATTCATCAGCCGTGGTCATCAGGTTGTATTCAGTACAATCTCTGGTATCCAGAGGAAACCGAGTCAAGGGGAATAATAGAATACAAGAGATCCATTAAGGAAAGTGAGAAAACAGGGGGCTCTTTAGGCAAAGTGGAGAAAAGCAACTACAGAAGGAGGAGGCAGCTAGGTAAAATATCAATAAGAATATCTAAAAAAGGCCTATATATCATACTGTTAACTATTTAACTAAAATAAATCCATAATACAGATAATTCTGTGTATAAATATACATATAGGTTCAATGAACTTTTATCACCTGGGTTGATAGTATTCCTTCGAAGAGCCAAGACCACCTAACCAAACCCCAATAGCAGACATAAGAAGTTCTCATTTGAGGTGTTGCCAGGGCTATCCAAGAGACTCCCCAAGCATACAGCCTATTGCCGTTGTCCTTGGTTGCCTTTCAGAGATGAAATGTAAGTCCCTATTGCTGAAGACACCATATACTCCTTAAACAGATCTCAGAGACCCCTGAGCTGGAACTGACTTGAATGCCCCTTCCTGAGAACTAGCTTTGATGGTACTAGAAGGCAACATTCAAAAGAGGGAGGCAACCTATATAACCAGCTATGATGCCTATGAGCCACAATGGTGAACCAGAATTATACTATAACCCTAAAGGTACAGCAGTGGCACACATATTTGGAGGTAACCTACCTAGTTAACTATTTAGTGCCAGTGAAGTCATGGTTATTGGAGAAAAATGTATAACCACTAACTTACTAAACTAGCATAATCCCTAAATATTTAAACTTATACCCACAGATAAGTGAAGACTTCACCTCACCAAGAAACCTTCTCTTTGCAACAGATGGGGACCATTACAGAAAAAACACAACCAATCGAAGTTTAAAGTTATGGATCCAAATACATATACAAAACACTCCTGCCAATAAGGCTCAGGGAACATGTTTGGGTGGAGGGCAGGTTAAAAGGATTGTAAAAACAGGGGATCAAGGAATTTGGTGTAAGACTGTGTGTCTCTTGGGAACATCAGAACCTACACCCAATAAAATCTCACCAACATGACTTCCCAAGCATGAGCTGAACAAGGAGGACACTAACAGACACGCCAAAATGGATGAGGAAAAGCCAATGAGACCTCAAATCTACAAAAAGAACTATAGGCAACCAAGGAAAGCTGGGAGGAAAGACAGTCTTCCCCAGAAAAGACCACAACAATTTGTTGTCCACTGCCTAATAGTCATCCTTGAAAACATACATGCAAGTAACAGTATAGAGAAAAAAGAGGTATATTTAGGAATATATATATATATATATATATGTATATACATATATGCATACAGTAACTGTTAGTGAAAAAAGAGGCTATGAATTTAAAGGAGAGCAGGGAGGTGTATATGGGCAGATATGGGGGGAGAGAAGGTAAGAGAGACATGTTGTAATTATAATATACCTTCCTGTAGCTCAAACTGCCCAAAGATACCATGACTCTATTATAAGGTAGTACCCTTCAGTTACATAAATGGGTCCATCCGTCCGTCCGTCCGTCCGTCCGTGTGTGTATGCGCACTTGTGTAGAGATGTCAACGTATGTGTCACTGCACATGTGGTAGAGGACAAAGGAAAACCTCAGGCGCTGCCATTCCTTGGGGATTCTTCTTTTTTTTTTTTTTTTTTCTGAGAAAGGGTCACTCACGTGACTGGAACTTGCCAAGTGGGCTAAAGTAATTGGTCAGGGATCCCCCTGTGTGTTTCTTCTCGGTGTTGGCATTATAAGCATGCTGTTATGTCTGTCTCTGTTTTGTTTTTATTTTTAACACGGGTCCCAGGATCTTGGGTCCTGAAGTCTGAAAGGTACCAGATCCCCATTACCAGATGAGCTCTTCCAGGTTTATGCCACCATACATTAAATAAGTAAATAGGCATTTGTAAATATTTGTAAAATCTTATCAATGTTTTATACGGTTAACCAACAGAGAAACACTTTTCTAAAGTGCTGGGTAAATATATCAATATTTTGGTAGAGTAACTCAAATGAAAGGCAATATTTATCTTTCAGTGTTGAAACTAAAATTGTAGACTACTGACCATGAACCAAGGCCTTTACAGATGACCTCCTCAACCTTTCAGACACTTTTAAACTGAAAATGGAAAACATAGACCTATACTAAGAGGCTACAGAGGCTCATGCCATTCTGAACACATTTAATAACAAAACACTGAGCTCCTAAATCCAGCTGCAAGGCTTCCCAGTTAGCCCCATGATCCAATTCAACTAATTCTCCAAACTGGCTCTGCCAACCTGGCCTCTGCAGCACTTTGTTCTGGATGAGTTGGCGTCTCTGTACATTTTAATTCTGCTATCCCACACAAACTACTTGAAGCATGATTCTTTAGATTTGCCTGACCAGTTCTTAGGTTGTCCTTGATTCTCTTCACACTATCACTCACCTAGCCACAGGCTAGACAGCAGCTGACAAAGACAGAGGGCATCTCAGGTACAGCATTACTGTTGAGTTTGATAAAACCCTTCATAGCTAAACTAGCCAATATGGGTACAATCAGTCATTAGTAGACTCAAAGCAAAGCATCGGTTGAATGTTGAGTACCTGGCATCCATCAGTGGAACCAGGTGAGAGTTTTCAGCACTAGGCGGCAAACTGGAAAGAGCAACTTTCCCCTCTGAAGTCCCACGATGAGGTCTCTGAACACCATCCACCTCACAAATCTTCTGCTTCAGCTGATGGATTTCATATTCTAATCTAAAAGGATGTAAACCACAGAACTCCATTAATTAATAGTATGACACAAACTCATTCTCTGTATGGAATGTTCTAAAAACTAGGAGGGAACCAGAAACATTCTAGTGCAAGGAGTTTTCCCTTCTAGTAGAAAAGTCATTATGCACAAATGACAAGAAATAAAGTGAAAATGAGCTATGAGAAGGACAAGAGTTCAAGGCATCCAAGGCTGAAACTAAGGACACAGGGATTTCTGTTGTGTTGTAAGTGAGACCTTAGGGGCAGCTACCCAGGATTCTGAATTCCTTAAACCATGAGTCAACAAGAGTTGATTTTTTTTTTTGTACTACAAAATTCTGTTAAATACTTCTGCTTGACAAGATCTACACAAAGTAGTTCTGGACAGAGTCTTGAAAGGTCATTGGAATGTGGGCATTTAGAGGGGACATTAGAAAATGTTCCAAGTATACACACCATCACAACAAAGACACTGTGCTACAAAAGCCAGGAAGACACTTTGGCCAGTATAGAGGGGACAAGAAGGGGAGCCAAGGGACATAGATCTAGGAAATAAAGTTGAGTTACATAAGAAATTAAAATGAGTTACAAATTGTGAAAGCAAAACACAAAAATTATTGCAGATAATAACTGATCCAGTTCATAAGCTCTGGACTATATAAAAAGCTGACCCAGGTGAACTTGAGTCTTGAGGCTGGAAGGGTCAAGCTGGCTGGCAGTATTAACCACAGGAACGTAAGACTAAGCAGCTGAAGACCACGGCCCACTCACTGTGTAAATACAGATTGCAACTGGATCTAGATTTCTACTTCTTCAGGGATCAAATGAGCTCAACCAATCTCTTTCATTTTCTTGATCTCCAAAAAGCAGATATCTTTGTGTCAAATGCTGACACATCTAGATGCTGTCAACTCTCTCGTGCCACCATGAGCAACTTCACTGCTTCATTCTATACATAAAGGCCATCTTCTTATTTCTCAGAGGCATGATTCTGGAGTCAGTAGGGGAGGCAATCATAGTTTCCATAAGTGTTTAGTTATAACTGGTGAGCAAAAGGTTCTTAGGTCCATTTGCAAAACATCCAGGGTTTTCAGGAGAGGAGAGAATTAGCATCAAGAAAGAGTATAAGGAGCTGGGCATGAGGACCCACATCTGTAAATCTGGGAGGGAGGTGGAGGTAGATCAAGGGTTCATGATCACCCTTTGTTAATAGCAAGTCTGAGGCCAGCATAGGCTACATGAGACCCTCTCTCAAAAAATACCACCACCACCAAATTAGAATGGTGTGAGGTATCACACAGATGGCAAGGAATAAAAAATTGGTAGCAAAAAGGTCTCTACAATGGCAAGCAGGATGCAATCAGAAGGCAGACATGTTTGTGATCTTCCGACGCCTGCTGGAGCTTCTCACAAGTGTTCTTTCAGGCCAAGACATTAGAAAATCTGAGCAGAGGTGACTTAGCAAGGAGGTTTGATTGGGACCCTAAAGACCCAGTGAGATTTACACAGGTGGCAAGGGGACAGCACACAGAGCATGCACCATGTGAAGAACTGGCCTGCCTGATTTCAGCCTCATGGCCAGCCCACTGACAACGAGGCACAAAACAGACCTACCTCAAGCCCCCAATCTGCCACTTTGAATCTGTGCTGCTAACCACCACAGGTTCAAATCTCCTACCCTCTACCTGGGGGTGATGTCTTCTTCATTGGAAGACTTGGGGATAACACACACATGACAGTTCAAACACATTTTTGAGTTGCATGGGATTATTCCTTAGGGAGGGTTATGACTATCATCACCACCCTTATTTTCGAGGACTCTTAACAGAACAGATCAAACGTGAGACTGGCAGTTCTCATCTAATCTTTCCCATGGTGACATGAGAGCTTTCCCGTGGAGCTCCCTGATGCATGTCACTGGGCAAGCTGAGATGACGGCAACGGAAAGACAGGCAGCGGTGCGGCTTACTCTGTTCTCAAGGCACTGCAGAGCTAACGGGAAAGAGTGGGCAGTGCCGTGCTGTCCTGTCTGGGGCCACAGGGGCTCAGTATTTCACACTTGGGCAGATTCACAAGTCACACTGCACAGCCAGTCCTGGCTTAACTGTGCGAAGCCAGAAAGAAAACAACACCCAGAGAATCACCTGAAGAAAGCTGCTGAGCACTGTGGGCAGAGCAGAGTGCCCAGGTTCCAGCAGCCTGGCTTAGGTGTTAAGTGAAGTCTATTTCATCAGAATGCACAGAGCTAACTGCCCCGTTTTCAAGGTTTCCGGAGGACTGCTGACACCAAGGAATCACTTCCATGGAAATTTCAAAACCATGTCTGCTATTACAGAGTATTAATACTAAATGGCCGGTTGACAAAAGTCAGGGACATGAAGCTAAAAGCTCAGGCTGTCTCTTACTGCACACTGCAGGACACAAATTGAGAGCATGCCCTCCACTACTTCCAATTTCCTGGGGCTAGAGCTCTGTCCAGCAATTTCATTTACATAACATACCTGCAATCACTTTCTTAAACCTCTGACCTACTTCTCTGAAATAATAACATTTTGGTGTTGATTGCTATTTTGTTTCTGTTTTGCCTGGAGGAGTTACCAAAGAGTGACTGTAAATGGCATCTATAGGATAAACAGATTAGTTAAGAGGACGCTGTCTTGACCTTCTCAGAAAAATGATGGGCAAAGGATACAGTTAACACTTCTGAGAAGGTCTTGCCTTGTCTGCATGACTATACTGATGCTTCTTCCAAAAGCTAAGTTGGGGCCTTATGGCTAACAGACAGACTACTGCTTATTATGGGTGGGATGTGACAGAGTTTCAAGTCTTCGAACATGGGCTTCAGGTAAGAACTATAAACAGAGGCAGGGCATAGTGGTGCATGCCTTTAATCCCGGCACTATAAACTCAGAGGCAGGCAAATCTTCGTGAGTTGGAGTGCCCGAGTAGCAAGTTCAGCCAAAAATACACAATAAGAGGCAGTCTCCAAACAGGAACAAACAAACAAAACAAAAACAATCAAACTATAAACAGAAGTTCCTCGAAAAAGCCACACCTTTTGAATAGTCTGTAGACCAATGCTAAATAGACTAATTAGCAATAGCAATTATGGAGTATTGGAATTTTGCAGATAGAGAGCTATATTGAGCAATCTTTATTTCCACAAATAGTCATTTATCAGTTACCTATATATCTGGCCAAACAACTTTTTGATGCCTAAGATAAATCCCTTGGAATGTGTCCTTACACTTGACAAGTCTCCACCAATCCAACAGGTAGCAATGTCATCAGACATTATCTAAGACCTACAGTTAAGAATTTCCCCAGTCGGACAGAATTCACTGGTGTCTTCACCAATGCATTTGCTAAATACACGACTTCTGACTTTGATTTGTTCTAGGAAAGTTCATGTGGCCACTTCTAGAGTGGAACATGTCACTTAGGACAAGTAGAACCTCTGCTCCCTGGCTGCAGCCACTTAGAATTGACTCGGTGTGAGTTATCTCTTAAGCCCCCTAGAAAAGAACTCTGCTTTGTGTTGATAACTCAACTCACCAGAGAGCACAGAGCTAGAAGGAAATAGACTTAAGTGGCCGAGGTCATCTAAGTAGTAAGAGACAAATCAAACAGGGCATGCCCCACTTTGCAAAGTGGGTTATGCTCACACACAAGGTGGCCTTTAACCTCTCTGGGACTCTTAGTGTGAGTGCAGGGTACCAGAAAAGATGCTCTTAGATTAATATATTCACTTTTTTTTCAGAGCCGCCCTCTGGTAAACATGGCAACAGAACAGGAAGATAAATACTTTTTCTTTATGGTGACAAGAGTGCTTGTTTCCTAGTTTTCTTTGTCACACCCTAAACAGTACCTAAATATCACCAAACGGGCTTGAATGAACACCCACTGAGTGCAGAATAGGTGGAAGAAGGTGCTCGCCAGCTGGCTGGGTTGTTTTTAACACACAGTCCTGAGGCCACCTCTCAATGCTGACTTTAAGGGTGGGACAGTACCTGATGTCAGGCCTCCTCAGTTTCTAAGAACCACTTGGAATCCACAGCACATGAATGAACTCTCTGTGGCCAGTGCTGCTCACAGAGAAGACATAACATACCAGCGAAGGAGGACACAGGTGGGAGGGAAAAACAGGTGTGGGGAGAAGGTAAGGAAAGGGATGGGAAGGGACAGTCAGGGAAGAGGACATGAGAGGAAGATGAAAGCGGGAAGTCGAAGCTTTCCCCACATGTAGCCTGTACATGTCAAACACTGAAACACACACACATTCTACAGGCCATTTTAGCGAAGGGCCAGGACTTTGGTTCTTAAACACGGATCTTCACAAAACCAAGAGAATGCTTATTATAAAAAACAAGAGTGCTTTTATTAGGCTGAAGAATAGAAGCAAGCACCATGGGATTATGTACAGTAGGAAGAACAGATGAGGAGGATTAAGGCAGATGGCATTGGATTGGGGCTGGGACATGGAAGGTGAGTATATTGAGACAGTGTGACCATATATATCTGTCCCGCCCAAGGTAAATAAGGGAATTACAAATCTAACAGGTGTCTGTGTCTTATTATTTGTGATACCAGGTTAAATAATACCACTGTGATAACCTTAGGGATAATTATAATAAACTTTATATAGCCCAACAGCTCACTCATTTTTTATTTACTCATTTTTTATTTAGATCAAGGTGTTTTGTTGTGTTTAAGTTTTTGCCTATGTATTAGAGATCATAAATCCTGCAAGAATCACTTCTCTGAAGACAGTAAAAAACCCACAAGAGGCAGAAAATGAGTAATCAGCTGGTGCATACACCTCACTCCCCTGCCTCAGTCTTACCTTGCAGGGTCCTTCTCGAGTGCCTCCAGACTGGCCCCCAGCCCTAAACATTCGCTGCTCTGGCGAGAGCCGAGTTTCAGCCTCTGCTCCTGGATCTCCAGGTCCAGGGCGGAGCGCCTCTTCAGGGCAGAGCACCTCTGCTCTAGCTTGGCCACAGCCTGCTCCAATGCCTCTCTCTGTTGCTTCTCCTGGGATTCCAGAATCTCCTTCTCCTTATTTCTTGCCTTCTCTCCCTGTCTGGCCACGTTTGCTGTGAACTCCAAGGTCGCCAGAAGCTGCTGCAGCTGTCCAGCACTAGCCTGGAACTGTGTGATCTGCTCTTCTTTTTCTTCCATTTCTTTCTCTACTTGGTAGAGAGTGTTATCTAAGCCCAGGGTGCCCTGGTCAAGGATGTCAAGAGCTCTCTGCTTTTCCTCCAGCAGAGCTGGCAAATGATTTTGCAGAAGGTCCCTTAGCTGCCACTCTTTGTTCTGCACCCTGGACTCTACAGTCTTTATTTTCTCGAGATCCTGAGCCTCACGGAGAATGCTGCCATTTTCTGCTGCCGACAAGCAAGGTTCCTCACTGGTTTCACATCTTACATGCTCCAGGGCTTCTTTCTCTTCTTGGACTTCTCTGCGTAGGAGGTCTCTCTGCTGTAGCAAGTCCTTCTCCAGGTTTGCTAGCTTGACAAGCTGCCTTCTCTTGAACTCTAAGAAGTGCAACTGAGCCCTTTCCAGTTCATCGCTGCAGGCCTGGTCCCCTCCTGCTGCGGTCTCTCTGGCCTGCAGTAGGGCTTCTCGGATGATCTCTAGCTCCCTCTTCTCGTCCTGGGCCTGTTGCGCCTCTCCAGGACGCACTAGTGGAGCAGTGCCCTGCCTCCCCAGCAGCTGCTCCTCCAGGTGGGCCACCTGTAGCACCTGCTCCTTCTCCTGCTCCTCCAGCCTCCTTTTCTCCAGCTGCAGCTTGGCACTCTGGGCACCTTGTTCTCTGTGCAGCCAGTCCAGCTCCTGGAATGTCTGGACCATCTCGGCCTGCTTCTGGCTGCTAAGCTCTTGAAGCCTGCGAAGCTCCTCTTGGATGCGGGAGACGCTCTCTTCCTCCTGCCTCCTGTGCTGCTCAAGTCCCTGCTGCTCCCGGAGCCTCTCTCCCTCCAACCTTTCCTTCTCGGCCAGCAGGTCCTTGAGCTTGTTTTCAATGTGGAAGCTGCGGCGCTTGAGGCTTTCCTCTTGCTTGCGGATCTGCCGCTGCACTAGCTCGGTCTCCTTGCGCCTGGTCTCCACCTCCCGCTGCATTCGCTCGAGCTCTGCCTTGTCCGACTTCTGCTTTTCCTCCATCTCTTCGATGAGTTTCCTGCAATGCCAATGCTGATTTGTCATTATTTGATCACTGTGCTCAGCTTTAGGTCAACTTTCCCCTAACTGGCCTGTTCTGAAAACATACAGGCAACACGAAGGCAAACCTTCCATTAAAATGAATGAAGAGGAAGAACTTTTCATTATTTCATTTTTATTTTATTTTGTTTTCTATTGGCCTATCATCAGTCTAGTCTCCTGAGGCAGTTTCTGGTTGCACTTGTGAAGCCTAGGATCATAATGTGTTATATGTGTGGTATAATTAGAAGCTCCCCCTAAGCTCCAATAGAAAAACACCATGTCCGATTTAAATTAAATGTGGCTAGCCCAATGATGAAAATGCAACAGACATCCAGTTACAAGATGACATAAGGTAAAAATTTCTGGTTGTCTTCAGTTCATTGGGGTTGAATAACAAAGTCAAAATAAATGGATAGTAGATTGTTTCAGTTCAAAAGAAAATCCTATATGGTCTTTAGCATTTAATCACTGCTCTAGGGCAACTTATAATCATCAAAATGACCTAAAACACGGGAAATGATGGGAATGTGTGTAGGACACTTACACACACAGAGGCCACATGCTGGGCTTCCCCCTGATCGTTACCTGGCATTAGGATACTTTGGGGAGCTACAGTGGCCTCCAAAGCAAGAGCATGCAATGACAGTACTCAAAGTTGACCTCCATCTCCTGGCCCCCAAACTCCTGACCTGCAGGATGCTGGACCCTGAACTCATTCCCATGAGCTATTTAGCCCCAAATTCTAGAAAATAAATAACTATGTTTCAGGTCCTCTAGCCTTAGCCTCTCCTGCAGTACCTACCCTTGAATTACTTCTGACTTTTTAAATAGAGCAGGGGAAAAGAGAAAACATGATTAAACTGGATATTTTAGAACATATCTCAAGCGGACACACATAGCAAATGAAAGTTAGCAGAGGAAAAGAAAAAGGAATTATAGGTGGGAAAACAACACCAGCAGCTGTACAGAAAGTAAAGATGTCTACAAGGAGAGTAGTGATGGCTGTAGTGGCATATGCCTGTTATCCCAGCACTGGGAAGGCAGATGCAGCACACCAGCCTAGCTCACATATTAAAACTCAGTCTAAAAACAAGCAGAGCAAGGCAAAATGAATGAATGAATGAACAAATGAATGAATGAAGTAAAAAAATGCTGGGGATACAACTCAGTGGAAAAGCATTGGTCTAAGTCTTAGATTCTAATAAAGAGACCCCACCACCACCTCACACACACATATAGACACAGACAGACAGACATAAACATAGATCAAACACATATACACACACACTTTCACATGTACACAGACGTACACACGTGGGGAGGAGACAGCTTAGCAGCAGAGAGCACTAAGAGCGCTGGAGAGGACTACAGAGTACTGGGGTTCAGTTCCCAGCACCCACATGAGAGTCCACAAACGTGTTTGTTTATTTATTTTCTTATGTACATTGGTGTTTTGTCTGCATGTGTAAGGGGATCGAGTCCCCCAGAACAGGAGTTATAGACAGTTGTGAGCTGCCACGTGGGTGGTAAGAATTGAACCCGGGTCCTTTGGAAAAGCAGACAGTGCTCTTAACCGCTGAGCCACCTCTCCAGCCCCCACAAATGTGTTTAAATCCATTCCCAGGTTTAAGACATCCTCTTCTGACTTCTGTGGCACTAGGCACACACATGTGCATATATGCACATGCACACATGTAGGCAAACATGCATCTACATAAAATGAACACGTCTTGATATTGTTGTAAATGTAAAGGTAGACGTGGGCTATTAGGAAAGAAAGTGCTTTGAGTTTTCATCTTTATAGACTCATGTCTTTCTGGAAACCCAGGAATACTAAGATTCAGGTTCAATTTCCACATATCTCAGATGTCTAGTTCACTATTTCCCCTTTTCACAAGTATTCGCAGATGAACGCTGAGAAAAGGTAAAGGTAAAGTCAGTCCCTTCTAAGAAAGTACCTAAGGCACCAAATATGTCAACAGCAGACTGAGCAGAGTAAGAGGAAACCACGGGAACAGAAGACATGAACTCTGGAAGGTACTAACAGAGGAACTCAGACGACAGCAGCTTGACATGGGTTTCACACACCTTACCTTTTACTTTCCAGTTTTTCAAGTTCTTCACGCTGCTGTCTCTCAAATTCAAGTCTGATGAAATAAAATAAAATAGGTCACTTCCATGAAGCAGCTTTTCTCTCTGCACACACACTCTTATACACTGGAACACGGATTTGTCTATTACTTTAATTACTATGGATTAGCAAGTTTAAAATTCATTCTTTGCTCAACACTATGATTAGAAATTAGATGTAATTTTAGGTGTTTGAACTTAGGCTGAAGAGAGCAGATTTGATTTGAAGGAAAACAAAATATCACTTTAGTTAAAAAAAAATTAAACACAGCTTCTAAATGCTAAGCATGTCTATTTCATATAGTTTAGTCACAGATGAGTAAGTAAAAAGGAGAATCTACCTTAGACAGATGGGTCCTTTTATAGGGAAAAGACTGCCAGGGAGGTGGAGGGGAGAGAGCACAGACATCCGTTAAGAAAACAATTCAATAAGAGGAAACATCAGGAGAAAAGCAGCAGGTACTTAAAAGACAAAAGTCATGCACAGATCAAAAGGACTGCTTACAAATACCACATTTCCCAGTAAGTGCACGAAGCAAGCACTCCCGAAGCTTAGTTTGCTGTGTGTTGCACACTTCTGTGATGACCACAGGACTGCTGACCACTGAGCTCAGTAGTTATTGTGTACAACAAAGCCCTGCTGTAGCACTTTATCAGGCTTTCTACTCAGAGGCTCGCATGTGCTGAGTGGCAGTGGGGCTGTGAGACTGCACAGATTCACACAGGTGCAACAAAAGAAAAGAAAGCAGGTTATTGGGAATTTTTAATTCTGACAACACAAGCCAATTGCCCCCATCCTAGGAAATAGGTTTTACTTTTTCAACTAAACACCATGAATCATAATACTTGAACACAGACATTTTCCTGCTGTAGATGGCAAATAATGTTGCAAAGCTTATGCAGGAAACCATTCACCATAAATGTTTTTCCTTGGTCCAGGAGCAAATACCAACTGACAGCACAGCTATTTTTACAATGCGCTAAGACATGTCTCAGGGAGTTCTCTTCTCATTTTAATTTGGGCTGATGCTGAGAGGGAAGTTTCTGGTACCTTTGAAAGCAGAACTGTGCCATTTTCTGTGGCGAGAAAATAGCCATACTGCTCTACACAGGCCATCTTCCTTTTGTCCTCCCACAATAATAAGGCCAAAAATCACATCTCCAAGTTACAGACAGGGAACCCAAGGCTTGAACATCTCCATAACTTGTCCAAAGCTTCGGTGGCAATATATGTGGAGACAGCATTTGAGCCCACAACAGCCTGCTTCTAAAACACCCTCCATTGACCCATTCATAAGCCTTGTTCCGATCTGTGATATGAAATACAAGAACTAACCTCTTCATTGAAAGTTGCTTTTGCTAATATTTATACTACTGTCAAGTGAAATTAATCTGCATCTTAGTACAGAAAAGGACGTCCATGAGAGATTAGTCATGCAGACAGGTAACTGCAAACCATGGATCCCACCCATACGCCTAGGCAACGAGTATGATATGATCACTGCTGGTAAGTATATTTCAGTATTATTTCTCTCTCTCACTGTCTCTGTGTGTGTGTGTGTGTATGCGCACGCAGCAGTGGGTGTGTTCAAAAACATATGTGCCGTAGCACATAAGCAGAAGTCAGAGGACAACCTTAGGGGTCAGTCCTCACCTCATCTTGTCTAAGACAAGAATCTCCCTTGTTGTTCGTGGCTGTGTGTATCAGGTTAGGTGGGCATGAGCTTTTGGGACTTTTGTCTGTCTCTGCCTCTCACTTCCCTGCAGGGACACACTGGGTTACACACACATGTGCTGGCTTTTACGTGGATTCTGGGCATCCAAATTTAGATGACCAAACCTGTATAGCATGTACCTTACCTCCTGGACCGCCCTCTTGGTACATATTTTTGGACTTCATTATACAGCCAATTCCTTCTAAAGACATTTACACATCCGAATGTAGGACCAATTAAAATGCTTTTGAGACCAGAAAATTTCCCTGAAAGAATCTTCTTTATTCTCAGTTTACATTTTCTATGCAACACAGTAATCTATGCCTATCAAAAGCCACTGCTTTGATAGTCCATGTGTGTAGCAGCAGACTGAGAGCTGCAGCCAAGGACTAGGATGAAATCCCGTCTTCTACAGTGTATTTCCAGCACCCCAGGCTACCCAGGCATTCAGACCCTTCATGTTGTTCCCATAACTGCAGGAAGTTGACACATTTATCATCCTCAGGCCACAAAAGAGTAAACTGAGGCTCAGTATATTCAGCAGCATCAAAATCCCCGTTTGGTTCCAAAACTTACTACTAGTCACATTATTTTTCAAAAAAGTTGTGTGATGACAGCAAGATCATACATATCTGATAGCAGATTTTATATTCTATCTAAGTAGTAGCTTCAAATGTTAAGTGAATGCAGTGTTAGGCAACGAGGTACACAAGAAGACATGGCAGACACTAACATTAGAGCCCTTCTCTGTTCTGCAGCAGTGTGTCACACACGGAATAGTAAACATCACAGAAGCTGAAAGAAGCTAGCATCTTGAGTCTATGTCTAAGTGTGTTTGTCTTTCTCTTGTATGATATAAAACTTAAGGAAAGCTCATTAAAACCAGAATTTAGCTTTGCATAAGTGACATAGCAGGACATGGATTTCTGGATGATATCAGAAACCAGGTTTCAAAGAGTGTTTTAAGTGTACTAAAGATTTTGAACTTGATGAATACACCTGTTTGGTGTTTTGAAGACTAGCTAGCAAAGAGGGGAATTAAGCCTGGAGATAAATGAGGACGTGGGTGCTGTTCTCAGCATGGCTGATTCTCTCTGAGGGCAGAAGGAAGACCCTATGCCAAGAGCAAGAAGACCAATAGGCATAAAGTTCAGGCACCTTACTTGTGAGAAGAGAAAGGGCTAGTGGGCAAAACATGTGTACCATCCTAGCAACAGAGAAGGCGAGTGAGGCAAGAGGATCATGGTTTAGAAGCCAGTCTGCGGTTCAGAGGTAGAACAAGTCTCTAAACCAAAACCCAAACCAAATAGTCGGAGAGAACTAATGAAGAAAACGAGGGGGGAAAGCTAGCTGGGCATCACTCAAGTTTTGAGACTGTTGATTCCAGAGGCCTAATCTTTATAATATATACACATCACATACACACACACACACACACACACACACACACACACATATATATACTATATATGTGTACATATGTGTATGTGTGTATGTATAGATACATATAAGTGTGTATGTATACATTTTATCTATCTATGTATCTATCTATGTATCTATCTATCTATCTATCTATCTATCTATCTATCTATTCTATTCTAATCTATCTGTCAATCTATGTATCTATCTACCTATCTACAGCATTAAGCAGAAATGCTGAAGTGCTATTAAGAGCACAGAAAAGGTTCAACTGGGGACACTTAGACTAGTAATGCAAGTACTAGTCTAAGGGCTGCATCAGATACTGACAGGAAAAGGAATGAAGTCAAAATAAACCTACAAGATAAAGCAGAAACTCAGCGGTGTCTACGTTGACAAAGTGAGAGCCAGCTAGTAGGAGAGTGTTCACCTTGAATCCCTCAAGACACAAGCAGGTCTTAGACGGAATCTGAGACACATGGAAGGATAGAAAGCAGCAGTAAGGAGAGATGATGCTTGGGGATGGGAAGGTGGCATGAGTTGAGTGGATGCGAGTGTTTTACTAGACAGAGAATGGGTGAACCTGGAGCAGCTGGAAGGAGGGAGTAAGGGTCTCTGGGCTCGTGAAATCAGTGGTTTTTCTGCAGCATAAACCATCAGTTAAGAATGGCAGAATAGGATTGAGATGGGAGACACCTGCTCATCAGCAGCTGTCAGCCTCAGATGTCTGAGGCCACAGCTTTGGGCCCTGCAGAAGTGTAGCATCTACTGATTAGGGAGGTCCCTATTTTAATTCTTTTTTTTTTCCTTTTTAAATTTACTACAATTTGTAAACTTTGTATCCCAGCTGTAGCCCCCTCCCTTATGCCCTCCCAATCCTGCCCTCCCATGCCCCTCTCCCAGTCCACTGAAAGGGGAGGTCCTCCTCCCCTTCCATCTGACCCTAGTCTATCAGGTCTCATCAGGACTGGCTACATTGTCTTCCTCTTTGGCCTGGTAAGGCTGCCCACCCCACTCAGGGAGAGGTGATCAGAGAGCTAACCACTGAGTTCATGTCAGAGACAGTCCCTGTTCCCCTTACTAGGAAGCCCACTTGGAGACTGAGCTGCCATGGGCTACATCTGTGCAGACTCTGGAAATAACCCAGATGTCCCTCAGTTGAGAAATAGATATAGAAATTGTGGTACATTTACACAATGGAATACTAATCAGCAATTAAAAACAAGGAAATCGTGAAATTTGCAGGCAAATGGTAGAAAGTAGAAAAGATCATCCTGAGTGAGGTGTCCCAGAAGCATAAAGACACATATGGTATATACTCACTTATAAGTAGATATTAGACATATAATATAGGATAAGAATACTAAAATCTGTACACCTAAGGAAGCTAAGCAAGGAGGAGGACCCTGGGTAAGATGTTCAATCCTCATTCAGAAAGAAAAATGGGATGGACATCGGAAGAAGGAGAAAACAGGGAACAGGACAGGAGTCTAACAAAGAGGGCCTCTGAAAGACTCTACCCAGCAGGGTATTGAAGCAGATGCTGAGACTCATAGCCAAACTTTGGGCAGAGTGCAGGGAATCTTATGGAAGAAAGGGAAGAAAGAAAGACCTATTTTAATTCTTAAAGAAAAGAAATGACTTCTCTATGATTTGTTTCTAGATCTTAGCCATTTTCTACTCAGAGCAGAGATACGCTTGCATGAGGATTCTCATTTCTGGGAAAGACTAAAAGTTAAAAACCAACAACAACAACAAAAGTAAGTTGGTGCTTGCTCTTAAGTTAAAGGAAGGCCACCAAAGATGATATGAGATGAGCAACCTGATTCAAGGACCCTGCTTTAAACGTGGGTCCAGAGCTGCTGTCGATAGCCTTCCCTTCTGTTAAGGATTACATATTTACTAATCGTACTTTAAAATGCGTTTCTTTCTACAATCCATAATTACTTCAAACAGCAAACCATAATAGACTGTAAAATACAAGTGTGAGCCTGTCAGTATCTAGACAGAGTATCAAGTATAATTGTATGTAAATGTGGCTGCATTTTAAAGCAAGTACAGTTCTCTCTCTTATATTACAGGGATTATCATGGCCCCAAATGCTAATTTCCCAAATGTTATAATTAAAAGGAAAACTATAAAAGGATGTAATTTTTGCAGCTGTTTTTACATTTTAAAATGACATTTGGAGGTACACATACCGTGTTAGGTCCAACAAAAAGCACAGAATACTATCTATT